AGAAAAAACAAAATCTGTTTTTGCAGTCCTTTTTTTGTTTTACTATCCTTTCTTTATTTGCTAAACTGGTTTAGTTTTTATTAAAAAGCTTAATTTTGACTTACACAAAGCTTAAATCCTAACTACTACTATTATTTATAGTCTTTCCTACTCTTTTAAGTTTCACCTATTCATTATCTTTTTCCACACTCACAAAGTACTTAAAGTTATTATTCGTATCTTTCTTTTTATCTCAACACTTTATTCTATTTTCTAGTGGTTCAATGGAATGCAAGTGAGGTGTGTGTGTTCTTGGCTCAAAGTATGTGTGAGAGAGAAAGAAGAGAGAATCAGGTGGGGTTGATAGGGAGATGTCAGTGACAGTGAGGTGATACAAAGCAAAGCCCAGAATTTGAGAGTGACAGCAAAAACTTGGATAATAATAATGTTTACACTACCAAATACAAAATTCTAGCCAATAAATATTTGGTAAAATTGAACAAAATTGATCACATGACGTGAATAAATTTGATTGAGTGGGATGAGATAGATGCTAAGTAAATAATTATTTATAATATAATGATTATAGTTGATGTGATGTAAAAGTAACGATGAAAATAATATATAGTTAAAAAAATATGTGAATTGATGAATATTGAATTAAAAATGATGTGATATATTAATATTATATAATTATATTGATATTAATAAGTATATAATTGAATTGACTTAAATTTTGAGTTAAATTTAAATAAAAGAGCTGATCTAATCAAAATTGATTTTGATCACGTTAGGCTCCTTACCAATCACTCCCAAATTATTTAAAAAAAAAAACAATAAACTATAGGAGGGAAAATATTTGATCACAATCAAGTTACTAAAATTAGCCTTAGTGGATGTTAATCAGTCGTGAATCAATTATATTTTTTTATATATTTTCCAACAAATATGAAATGTTGAAACTATTTAAAACACATTAATAAAGGTATGATATTTTATAGTATCAATTTACACTTTTATTAAAACATTATGATGGGTTAGGTTACCTCACAAAAATAAAATATAAAAAGTATCAGGGCAAACTTAGCTTACCGTTAATGTCTAATAGAGGAAATGATTTTTCTTAAATAGAAAAAAACTGTTAATTTTTTCTTTTACATCCGTTTTTTTTTTATTTTTTATTTTACCATATAATATTTGACTTGACAAGCTATCTCCCAGTATAAACGAAAATGAGAACTTAGCTCTTGAAATTATGAATCCTAAAATGACACGAAAAGTTTATAATTCAATTCACAATAATTTGAATTGAACTTCTAGATTATTTGAACTTTTGAAGCATATGATCAAATCGACAAATGATGTAAGATTTATCGAATGTTTTATAATTAATTTGTTAATCCATCGACGAAAATCATATATATATAGAAAATGCATCATTATTTTTTTATATGATCTAAATTTTCGATATGTAATATGTGTATGCCCTTGAAAAACTTACACTATGAGCTTCTAACGAAATGAATATCATGGAAATCCGACAGTCAAATCTGATCAATAGTTAATTAAATTGACAAATATTATATTTAGGGTGTGCTTGGATATAAGTTCTAGATTGCATGTTTTGTTTTGATTGGTTTTTTTTGTTAACAAAAGCTAATTTTTTTTTAAAAAAAATCTAGTTAGTTTAGAGTTGAGTGTATTTTAAATTTGTATAAACTAATATTCAAAATAAAATGATTGAAATTAATGAGTAGTTAAATATATGTGAACTGATGAATGGTGAATTAAAAATGATGTAACGATGATTGATATGTATTATCAATTATATCGATTATTGATAATGATTGAATTTGAGTTAAATTTAAATTGTGATTGAAAAATTCAATCACAATATATATCCAAACACTATTTAATCGAAATTCACTATTGAATTTTAATAAGGAATATCTCATTAGAAACGTGTATTGAAAGTTTTCAAATAACACCATCCAATAAAAAGTTGGATATCTTCATAGTCTAAAATAAAATATAAATTTTACTTGGTTCATTTTATAAACCTTTTATGTCATGCTAATGATTTTAATTGTAGGGTGTAAATTGTTTATTTCATGTGCTTTAGAAGACAATTTATAAACTTTAAAACCTTAAAATTTATAAATGAAATACCTCGAGAGGTTGAATTAATTTTTCAATATGATTTTTAACTATAAGATAATAANACTGCAAACATCAAACATGATATGAGAAGAACGGGCCAAATGGGTTGGTAATGCTAATTTGATGTGAGTAAAGGAAAATGTCACTGTTGATAGGTTCTGTCTGTTTCATTTGTTCCATTTTGATAGGCTATTGGGATTAGACTTGACAATACCCATTTTCCAAAGTTACAACGCCTCTAATTATTACTCCGCTGTCGTTTTGTGTTCGGTTTCTATTTTATTTATCATTTTATGTTTATGTTTATTTCAAATTTTGATGTAATTGTTTTGTGTCTATTGTCTTTTTTATTTTTTTGAAACCATAGAATTTACTGAGACAAATGTTATTGAAAAATGATGACAAATATGTGAACACCAATTCGTTTCACAAAACACCGTATAAGAAAGCCCTAAAATCAATATATACCAAATCTATAACATACCAAAATCTATCTATACCAAAAATATAATATTCACAAAATCACTCTAACACCCCCCCTCCCTCAAGTTGGAGCATGCGGATTCCGGATGCCTAACTTGCCAAGAAAAAAATCAAACTCGCGTGTTCCCAAGGCCTTGGTGAAGATGTCCGCCAATTGAGAATGAGTGGAAACATGAGCGGTAGAAATGAGACCTCGAACAATAGCATCACGAAGAAAATGGCAATCGACTTCAATATGTTTCGTGCGCTCATGAAATACAGGATTAGTAGCAATGTGCAGAGCTGTGTGGCTGTCACAATGAACCCGCATGGGTGAGAATGAGCGACACCAAGGCTGTGAAGTAAACCCTTCAACCATTTCAACTCACAAGTAAGGGTCGCCATAGCTTGATACTCGGTCTCGGCAGAAGACCGGGCTACAGTGTGTTGTTTCTTGATGCGCCAAGAAATGGGTGAATGACCAAGCTGGACAAACCAGCCCGAGAGAGAACGACGTGTAGTGGGACAAGTCGCCCAGTGTCAACAATGACTTCAGAACTCCCAGTGTCAGCGGTACGCGTCGTAGTGGGAACCACCACAGTATCATCATCGTCAGAAACAGCAGGTCATGGAACCACAAGTACGATGACAGTGTCAGGAGTAGGAGAGGTCAAATAAGGGAACTCTGATTCACAAAATTTCACATCACGTGAGACCAGAAAAGTACGGCTATCCAAATCATAAACACACCACCCCTTTTGACCAGATGAATAGCCAACAAAAACACATCGACGACTCCGACTTGCAAACTTGTCACCTTTCCTGTTCTGATTGTGCACGTAACACAGACAGCCAAAAACACGTAAGTGCGCATAGTTGAGAGGTTCTCCATACAAAAGTTCATAGGGAGTCTTGACGGATAAAAGAGGAGTAGGCGTTCGATTAATCAAATAGCCAGCAGCAAGTACACAATGTCCCCAAAACTCAATCGGTAAATGAGCTTGAAAGCGTAATGCTCGAGCAACATTAAGAATGTGCTAATGTTTGCGCTCAACCCGTCCATTTTGTTGAGGAGTTCCGACACAAGAAGTTTCATGAACAATCCCCTGTTGACGGAAATAATCACGCATACGAGTAAATTCAGTCCCATTGTCACTGCGAACAGTTTTAACCAACACACCAAATCAGAGACCGGTTAAAATTTTTCATCAAGATTCATAGAGCCGAATATAAAGATACAAAAAAAGCCCTAAAACCAATATACACCAAATCTATAAGATACTAAAAATACAATTTTCACAAAATCACTCTAACAAATGACATATTTTCTGCACAATTATAAAGCCTCAGCTCTCAAACATTTATAGAGATTCGTGTGCGTGCAGTAATATAGTACTATTTTAACTGTAAGAGATTTTTCTAAAACATAGGGTTTTCAATTATTATAATCATTACTAGATGCTTAGACTGACTAAACACGTCCAAAATCTTTGTTGGGTTGCGTTTTTATTCTTCCATGCGTTGGATTTGATTCTTTTGTCCTTTATTTTGAACATATATATTTTCAATAAAAAAAGACGCTACTGAAAAGTAAGCATTTATAAAGTTAGAATGGAATCGGCGGGGGAATTCGATCCTATATTTAAGTCGACTTTATTATTTTATATTTATTTCAGCCACGCACAATTAAATGATTAATAATTGAGTAAATTTGAAAGCACAAAGAACTTCGGCTATTGGTGTTTTGTAGCCAAATGAAAAATAATTGGAAAGGTTTTGACAAGGGTTTATGCAAGTCCAATCGAGTTGAGTAGTTCATGTTTCGAATGTGTGCTCGTTCAATAAGCAAGTCAACTCACCTCAGTACGTTTATATATGCTCGGCCTTGAATGGTTTAAGTTCGTGAAAGATCGACTTCACTTGTTTAATAAATTTAAATTATAAACAAGTTGTTCGCGAACATGTTATACTTAAATGTTTGTTCGAAACTTTAAAAAATAAATGAGTTGATCATAAACAAGCTCAACTTAACTCATTTAATAAATAGTCTCAATTGACTGTTCGAGCTTAGCTCCCTTAATAAAAAACGATACATGTTTGAGATTTCACGTGTTGAACCGTGCCGTTTTCGCAAACAGATCGATTTAAATAGCAGCTCTAGTTTTGGGCTTTATCAAGAATTCTTGAATCAGCGAATGAGCCCAATTAATGTGGGCTTTGCTGCCCAAATTATGGGGGGCTTTTATTCAGCAGCAATGCCCAGCCCAAATATTATGCCATTCGAGACATGGGCTTTATGCTTTTGGCTGATCTCAAATATCTATTAAATTGCTTGATGTATATAATCACTTTAGCACCCTTATAAATCATAAAAAAACTAGCTACAGGAACTTGAACATGGTCAATAATGGATGATAAATATGCCACCTCTAGCGAAGCATTATATATTTTGTTAATTAAATGTCTTAAATTCAAAGTTTTGGGCCCAAACACCACTTAATCAAGCTCCATGCATTGTCATAGTATGGCTTGCACAGCCACTACAGTTTTAAAAATTTAACATAAGTGTATGCCTAACATAAAATTAAATGATAATGATGGAAACAATCTAAGCTATTCATAGGCCACAAAACAATCTAAAGCTAGACAAACACTTATTCAGTTTGGATAATTAATAAAAAAAAAACTTTAGTTAGTAATCATATTTAATTATTTATTGATATTTTTATGACTATTAATCGTAGAGACTAAAATATTTAAGAACAAGGAAAAAAGAAAAGTAAAGCATAGCTTGCATAGCCATAGTTAAATTCTTTGGGCCCCATATGTCCTCTAATATGGCCCAGTTCACTGGTTGACTCCAGATCCAACCAAGACAACTTAGATCCAGCCCAAAAGACTGTCACCCCAATATGAAAAACCTCTTTTTACAATATTGTTTTTCATTTTTATATCATTTATCTATTTAATTTTTCTATTAATTGTATGGTTAAATAATAAATAATCACTATCAGTCATTTTCAATCGTTTAAACTTTCATGAATGATTTGTTAACTGCCGAGTTGTGCATGAAAAAACCATTTCAGATATTACTGTTTAGATTGTGCACAAAATAAAATTGACTTTGAGGTTGACAATAACTTTCAACAATAAGCACTTTCCAACAGAGTTTAGAATCTAATTGAATAATAAATTTCAGAATTTAACAAAGGAAAAAAGGTCAAGACATTTTGACATGCTTTATTAGAATTTTGATTAATTGAAGTCAAAAGTTATTGACTATTTTCACTGTCACTTTCACCATCAAAATTTACTTTTCTCTACACAATTAAGGGTTTTAGGATGAAAAAGTGCCCAACATGTGGGGGTCCCAAACCTAAACTGTTTACTATAGTATTAAATATCTTTGCAAAATATGCTGTGCTTTTTCCAGAAGGCAAGGTAGGGTTCGTTTAAAAAATGCCAACCGACTACATTAAATAAAAAATATTACACTATCAAATTCCCTTTCCAAAAAATAGGATAATACGTTATAATATATTCTTCATTAAAAATGATAATATCCCTTAATCAGCATGGGCTACTTAGCATGCAAAAACGGCAAAAGCCAAAAATCTTCCACATGGCCTAGTTGTCTGTTTTATTTATTTATATATTTTTTTTTCCAATTTGTTCAGATTGACTCATTTACAATTTTAGAAAGAACCATGAATTTTACAGTTTTACCACTGTTACTTGGTACTGAAGATGGTGATAATGAAAACACAGCTTCAATCATCAACTAGATGACCTGTAGTAGATTCTAAACATAAAATATTAGGTCAAATATTAATTATATCACTTGACCCCAATTTTTTTTCACCAAAAAGTAGAGAGAGCTTTGTCAAGCAACCTCGAGGTTACTTGTGAGTTGTGATTGCCAAAATAATGTGAAAAAAGAAAAAAAAAGTTCACTGTGTGGCTCTGTTCTTTCTGATGAATCCCAGCTAAAAGGATACAAAAACCCAAAACAAAAATGCTATCTGTTTTTGGTCTGTGTCATAATTTCTTCTGCAACACCATTAAACCATAATTGTTGTTTCCTTCTTTTTCACCTTGTTCAGCTCCACTCAGCTGGCAAAACTTTAGCAAGATTCGATTTTTATCCCAAAAACTCACCAGAACATCAAGATTTTCCCATCCCCCCATCATTCAAAATCGAAATTTCTTATTTTTCCAACTAAATCTAAACCAATTACAGATTTTTGTAGCTATGGGTTTTGATGGAGCTCGAGTCTTCATCTTCCTGATCCTCTGCTCCACGGCAGCAGCAGCTAATCCTGAACCCCTCAACTGTACGGATACCACCCGCTTGTGCACGTCCTTTCTAGCATTCAAGCCCACTTCGAACCAAACCCTACCAGTAATTCAGAGCATGTTTGATGTCTTGCAAGAGGACATCACGGTTGAAGGCAACGGCAGAGATTACATTTTCGTGAAAAAGAACTGTTCTTGCGCCGTGGGCTTGAGAGCGTACTTGACGAACACGACCTTCACGGTGAGGGCCGATAATGGGTCCGTTTATGATCTGGTGATGGATTCGTATGATGGGCTGGCCTATTTCCCTTCGAATTACACGAGGCCCGCTAGGCAAGGCTCGGTGGTGGCTCTGAAGCTCGTGTGTGGCTGCTCGAGTGGGCTTTGGAATTATCTCATGAGCTATGTGATGCAGGATGGGGATAGTGTGGAGTCTTTGGCTAGTAGATTTGGGGTTAGTATGGATAGTATTGTGGCCGTTAACGGGATTCCGGGCCCGGATAATGTGACTGTTGGGTCGCTGTATTATATACCATTGAATTCTGGTATGATTTTCGAATTTTGTTTTCCTTTTTTTTACGGTATATGTAGTCTAGTTTGGAACTGGATATCTGGGGTGTTTGTAGGTTCTAGGTGATCTTGGTGTTGACTAGTGAAATTTATTCTGGTAATTATATTTTTTTTATGTTGGTTGTTATGATTATCTTAGGGAACCTGGTTTATTGAAATTTTGAGAATGAGAAGGAAAAAAAAAATGAATCTTTGGTGTTTTTGTTGCTGTTTGGTCTGTAGTTTTTGATATTCCAACTTTTTCTTTGTTTCAGTTCCTGGTGAGCCTTATCCCATAAGAAACGACACACTCCCGGTTCCAGCTCCAGCGCCATCTGCTTCTGCTGATAACTTTGTGGGTATGAAAGGCTTTTCTTTTAGCCCGTGCCTTTGATTATACCCGTGTTCTTTATTATACATTGCAAACAGTAGTGGTGTTATTCAAATTGTTGCATGTCGATCCACTTGAAATTTCTGATTAGCTCAGCAAGGATCACTTCATGTGAAATGTTGGTTTTATAGTATCAAATTGTTGCTAATTTCTGTTTATGGTTCTGCATAATCTGATCATTATCTCAAGGAAAGCTGTGCTGTATTATTTCTTGTTCTGCTTCCGGCTTAACCTTTTCAAACAAACAAAAACTCATTTACGGCCGACTTACCAGACTCTCTCAGTTGATGAAATCAGCTTTTAGCCTCTATCTGCATACACTTATTTTCTACCTAAGTTATGCTTCTCAACAGATTGTGACCTAAGTTTCTTACCAACACTTTCTTAGTGTATATATTATTTCATGAAAATCTGTGTTATACTTTTCAGCAGCCAATCACGTGGGCCACAAGACTCGCGTACCTTACTGGTGGATCATTGGAAGTCTTGCTGGCGGTTTAGTTGTTATTGTTGTTTTGGTGCTTCTTTTTATTTCTTTAAGGTCATCCGGCTGCCTCACACGTGCCCAAGAAAATCGGCCAAAGAATTCTAATGGGAAAATCTCGCACAAATTCCATATTTTACGGAACACTAGCTTTTGCTGTGCCTCACGAAGGTCTAGGGAATGGGACCACGCGAGGGGGGAATCTAGTAATCGTCACCTCCCGACAGGTTTTTTTACGAAATTTGGTTGTGCATTTATGGTCAAAATTAACGACCAAACTACTGTATTTTTTAGATAATAAATGTCATGCTTAAAGTTACAATTGGCGATCGTTCTTCAAATTCGTTGCGCTTTTTCAGAATGGGAAATGTTAAACTAGGAATAGTGACTTTATATTAAAAGGTAGAAACAATTAAGGCAATTTTGTTATTTTTACTTTTCTAGAGTAGTTTTGACTGATATTTAACTTCAGCTTTCTTTCTTTCTTTCTTCCTCTCATGGTAATTTAAGCTTTTGTCTTATCTGCATTGGTTTTGGCAGTTATCGGGACTGATGTTTTTGACGTGGAGAAACCGGTGGTTTTCACATATGAAGATATATTATCTGCAACAGATGGGTTTTCTGATTCTAATCTTTTGGGGCATGGAACCTACGGTTCAGTATATTATGGCCTTCTTCAAGACCAGGTTTTGCAACTGTTTATCAAATTACCGAGTCTAATATTTTTTTTTCCATGAAAATAAAAAAGTATTAATGAATGAAAAATTTCAGGAAGTCGCTATAAAAAAGATGACAGCCACAAAAACTAAAGAGTTTATGGCAGAGATGAAAGTTCTCTGCAAAGTTCACCACACCAATTTGGTAAATGCCGAAATAGCTGTCGATTTCAGACTTTTCTTTCTAAAATCTAACCTTATATTTCTGAATAAATTAAATGTTTAATTTTTATTTTTGATTTTATTTCAAAGGTAGAGTTGATCGGTTATGCAGCTAGTGGGGACGAACTATTTCTCATATATGAATTTGCTCAAAAGGGCCCTCTCAGGAATCACTTGCATGATCCCCAGAGCAAAGGTTCAATGTTCACACACCTTCATGTGATAATAATTTATATAAAAGAAAATGTTCTTTGTAATGATTTACATTTTCTGTTAATATTTAAAAGAGTTCTCTTCCATTTGTAGGTCATACTTCATTATCATGGATAACGAGGGTTCAAATAGCTCTAGATGCTGCTAGAGGCCTTGAGTATATACACGAGCACACTAAACCTCATTATGTGCATCGTGATATTAAAACTAGCAATATTTTACTTGACGGCAGCTTTAGAGGAAAGGTATGTATTGTAATTAGTAATTACCCTCAATTGCACGATAACGCAATAATAAATTCTTTATTTACATCTGATTTCTCTTTCAGATATCGGATTTTGGTTTAGCAAAACTCGTTTTGACGACTAATGACGGTGAAGAGTCGGTCACCAGAGTAGTGGGAACGTATGGATATCTAGCTCCCGAGTAAGTACTAATTACACTATCTTTAGGCCAAAATTGCAATTTAATCCTTTAACTTCTTGATATGACAGTTTGATCCTTCAAAAGGTTCTGCCTCTTAGTTAGAATAGTAATTTAATTTTCACCTCGTGTAATCTTCATAGGAACTCTGTGAATAAATAAAATGTTGGCAAACGATCATTTAGGAGTATGAACATTGGAACTTATAAGCCCAATTTGCACAAAATCAAAACTTTTTGCGGCTAATGTTGCCAAACTTAATCATTTAAGAGATGAAAATTGCTAGCCTCTTAAACTTCAAGGACACATTGTTTTTCAAGTTAAGCCCTTTTCCCCCCTAACGATTTGAAATGTTTGGTCTTTCGTTCTAGATACTTGAGGGATGGGCTTGCAACAATTAAAAGTGATGTTTATGCATTTGGTGTGGTGCTTTTCGAGATGATATCGGGGAAGGAGGCCATGACGAGGACTGCCGAAAGACGCTCGTTGGTATCAATTGTAAGTCGTGTGCCAATGATTATTTTCAACTGAAAAAAATATAGATGCGCTTTATTTGGATTTTTAAATGGTGTAAAATAAAACTGCTCAAATTTTTCAGATGGTGGCAGCATTAAGAAACTCGCCCGATTTCATGACCATGACAAGCTTGAAAGATCACATTGATCCTAGTTTGATGGATTTGTATCCTCATGACTGTCTTTTCAAGGTATAAATATATACTTGAGTTCTTGCAGAATTTGTGTTTTTGAATTATATATACTACAAAATGAGAAAATTATGATTGGCTAAAGTTAATTAATAGTGTTATGCCATATCTATTCACAGATGGCTATGTTGGCAAAGCAATGTGTGGATGATGACCCGATTTTGAGGCCGGACATGAAACAGGTCGTGATTTCACTTTCTCAGATCCTTTTGTCATCGGTCGAGTGGGAAGCTACTCTTGCTGGCAACAGCCAGATTTTCAGTGGGCTCGTGCAAGGAAGATAGATAAGCTTAGAATATTCCTTGCCGCCACTTTTTGCTCTCTACATTTTCTTTACAAAGGCTTTTCATAGTTCTATTAATGTGTAGCTTGTGTGTATAGGGAACAGGTTTGTTATTCGCATGACCAACTGTCTAAAAGTCCCATCTTTTTCCCTCCTTTCATTTTCTGTTCTTTTTTTCTTGGTTTTACTTTTACCACCTGATTAGTTCATTCAAGACTTAGCTGCTATGCACTAAAAATTTTGTATCTGGACTTTGGTTAGTAAATTATGAATATTGCTACAAAATTTTTACTTGGTTTTTATAGTAAATTCTGCTCGTTGTATTTGACGGCCCGCATTCTACCATAAAATTACTTAAATAGAGTGTTCTGATAAAAAGATAATAAATGATTTTTTATGCAACAAATTTTAATCCAACACGCCAAGTTTCTAGTTATTGATTCAAACTCATAGTGCTCTAATCATGTTGTGCAGATTTACTCTTGAAAAAGAACAAATACATATAGATATATATTTCAAAACTTCCAGTTAATTAGTTTGGGTTTTTCAACGTTGACAGATAAAAAATAAATATTATTTATTTTCTGAAATATGACAGATATAATGAAATAAAGAGTGAATATTATACAAAATGAACATGCCAAAAATAGTTACTATTTACTCAAAACTGCCCACTTTTATTACAACAATGCTTTTGTGTTCACAGATTTTACCTTATTACTTGCATAGTGAGGCCAATATCCTACGAGGAGGTTCGAACGGCTTCCGAGAGTGAAGGACAGCCAAATTATCGATCAGCAACACATCCCCTTTCTTCCAAGGGAAAGCACAGCTGTCCTCTTCCAATATTTTCAGGCAGTCGTATATTACATGGGCCGGTAATGGACTCCCATTCCCAAAACTGACAGCCTTCTTGGGCTCGTTTCTTGCATCCTCCCAGCCCGTGTAAGCAGCCACCATGCTGTTGAACCAGATCTTTCGCTGCCTGGTCTCGTCGTGCTTGATTGCAGGGATTGGGCCCATTATCGTCTTTACATTCCCATTCTCCATCCATTCAAGCTTCATGTTTAACTTAGCGGCCCTGTTAAAGATTCGCGAAAATTTGATTAGTTTTTGCTTTTTTTGGCAAATATTTTTCGTGATAAGTAAGGATGAAGTTTTTTCCAACCCCTGAATTTAGTAATAATGTTTTGTGGATGAAAACTTGAAACATAAATTTTCTCACGATAAAGCATTCTTGTTGTTTATTTGTTTCCCCTATTTTAGGGAGGGGACAAAAACATCACGAAAAGTGGGACAAAAATTAAAGGCAAATTTCTTTTACACCTCCAATTTGAAGATTACATCAAGCTTTTCAAGCAACTAGATAACAATGTAACTTTTTCACCCCAAAAAAAGCGAACGTTATTGGAATGGTTCGCATAACTGTCGCATATTCACATTATAAAGTGCGAAGGGTTATGCAAATGCCTTCACATTTTTAACTTTCTCACATTATCAATCGCACAATTGCCGCATAATAACCACATAATGCTTTCGCAGTTTCTAGGGTGAAAAAGTTAACTTTTTATCCAGCGGTATTCATTTTTCAGTAAAATAGCTATTTACTCAAAATTAAATATTAGCACGAAATGGAAGGAAATCGAAGATGTAATTACAAGTTTGCAATAGCAAGAGTTGTAAAAGGGATCAATCAAACCTTTCCTCAGCCACACTTTTATCTTCGGTCAAGAAAGTAGATTTCCAGCCACGGCCTATAGGGGAAGAAGGATCATCGTCTTCTCCCAGAACACGAGTATATATGAGTCCGTGCTTCTCTAATTTTTCCACAAAATCTGGGTATTTCTCCTTCATCTTCTCATACACAACATGACTCAGGACAATAGGGGTTTCTCCCCCACTTGCAGGTTCTACCTCACAAAAGAAGAACAACTTGGAAGGGTACTCGGGGACCTGATCAAATCATAAACTGCATAGTCAGTTGAACTAGTGTTGATAATTTCTATTACTACTGACAACTAGCAGATAATTGTCACTTAATAAAATCTTATACAAGGAGAACAATTTGTAGGAAACAATTATTCCAATTGAAGTATTCAAGAATTGATTAACTTAACATGGTGATGGTAATCTTTAATCTATGGGATTATAATAATATATCCATTGAACTTGGTTTATAGTACAATGGATCCCAAGTCTTTAAAATCCTGAGTTCATGTTTTGCATTTCAATCTATATCCATCTTATATGGGAGCCATTTGGTTTTGAAATAGCTGCCGTTTGCACTATCAAGTCAAACCCAAATCTTCTAGTTCAATGTTCTTGAAATGGTATTTTTCCTATTAATTTAGCACAAAAAGATCAACAAACTCATGTATCCGCTACCAATTTCACAAAAGCACAAAATCAAGCTCGCTACACGCATGGACTCCATTAAATCGAACACCAGCTAGAGAGAAAAGAAAAAAGGGGATAAAAATATAAACATTGAAATGAAATAGAGAAACCTGAGCCATCTCATGATGGAAAGGGATTTTCTGATCAGGCGGGGACTCGTTGGCAGTAAAAACCCGGCCGACGACGTTGGTCCTCGGGGCGGCGCCGCCAACGTACGGGAGCTCCTCGTACCCAAACGCCTCGACGACGTCGTTGAAGTCCGAAGCAGTAGCCAGATTATCAAACCCTCGGAACAGAATAGCCCCGTGTCTGTGTAGAAGAAGGTCCAGCCATGGCCTCTGCTCCTTAACGGCCGCCGTTAAAATAGACGGACTACTGGAACCTACCGCCGTCGGGGAGAGCACGGCGGGGAAGCTAAGTCCGCCGTAGTTCTTCTGGTGTGGAATCGTGGTCTCGGCGAAGAATTTAGCAGTTGAGGGCATTTTCACTGTCGGTGGTGTTTATGGTGATCGGTACAATACCGAGAAATTTCCCAATCACAGACGATTATGCAGAGAGTTTGAAACTTTGAACAATAATTTTATTTTATTTTGTTTTATCCTAATTTTGTTGAGATCGGTGAAATCTCGTGTATTTGAAGTTGCACTATACAAAAAATAAAAGTTATTATATTTTAGAGATGTTTGTTGAAACTCGCGGGCAATCGGTGACAATTTCATCTTATGGATTAACATGTTTTGCATGCCTCGAGTTTGATTGTTATTTGAATTATTTGTCGAATTTGTTCGAAGATAGTTCGTGGTTCGTTTTTGTGGTTTGATCGTGTCGTTCATCATCATTCTCTATTCGTTTTGTTTATTGTTCTCCGAAAGCTACACATTTACCCAATATTTATAATATATGTTATCCATCTACTTATATATTTATAATTTATAAATACTAGTACAATATCCGTGTATTACACGGGTGTTGAATTAAAAAGCTTTCGTAAAAAATATTAATTTTTTTTTATTTTTTTTAAACTAAAATAATTAATTTTATATGAAACACTACTTTGAGTTTTATTTTAATTGTCAAATTATATTTTTTAATCATAATAATTAAACACTCGTACATTATAATATAATTTATATTTTTATTTGATATAATTTAATTTAGTTTGATAAATAAATTTAAATTTTATTTATAAGGATATATATTATTGTTTTGTATTTTATAATATATATATATATATGTATTGGTTAAAATAAATAGTACATAACTATTTGATTGCATATGAACCACTATGTTAATTACATAAAATATAATAATTAATGTAATTTTGAGAGACCGCTAATTTATTAGCTTAAAAATATTAAATTTATTATAACATTTGATTATGCAATTTTAAGGAATTTTACTATAACATTAAAATAAATTAACTTATTTAAAAATACAATCGCTAAATAAGATAAAAAAATATAATATTAATTTTAGAATAAATAATTTTACCAAAAAGTTTACAATAATTTTTTATGTTTATATAACTTTCATATATCATTTAGTGTAAACTATAGTTATTAGTTTTAATAATAACTTTTATATGATACCATAAAATAGTATAATTATTACTCACTTAATATAAAATGTAACGGTTTTTGTCTTAATTGACCCTAAAAAAAAGTGCAATGAAATATTTTAGCATTAATTAGATATGGTGGATTAATAATAATAATAATAATAGAAGATTGTAACATAAAAAGATGGTAAACAACAATTAATATTATTAAATTTACTGTTAGTAATTAAACATAGAGAAATAGATATATAAATGATAACGTTTGTAACAATTTTTGACTAGAAATCGAAATGAGATTTTATTAAATGGATTAGCCAGCAATTATATATATATATAGATAATGCTACAAATTTAATAATAATAATAATAATAATAATAATAATAATAATAACCCCTTATAAAACCCTCCATCCGCATTCCGCAATACTCATTACCATTATATACTCTGCACAAACAGCCACACACACAAGCACAACCACCACCATGGACGACGTTTATCATCCATGGATGAAGCATATCGACTTGTATATTGATGGCGGCGATCAAACACAACAGGTTTCTCCTTTTTTCTCCAGTTATTGCTTTATTTCAAGTTCATGTTCCATTGCAGCTCTATACTACCTTCAATTGTGGAGTGGCGACAGTAATATTCTATGCTGCGGATTCGAATTACAGGCTGCGAGCGTGGACGCGATTGCCACCTTGCTGAAGAATGAGTCGATAACTCTAGAAGATATGGTAAGTTGTATTTTCCTTTTTTTTTTTTGTTTTTCCTATTCCAATATACTTGTCGAGTTTATTTCGATTATATGAGATTTTTCTGCTCAAATAATTAGTTTCTGAACAAGTTTGGAACTTGATTTTAGGAAACAAAAAATTAAATTGTTAGTGTACAATGTGTGTGTGCGTGCACAGGTTAGGGCAATGAAGATGGATTTGACTTCTGCCCTTGACACACGTCGCTATAGAGGTACTCATGCCTCCGTAAAATAGTATTTCTATTTATTTTTATTGGTTGGCAATGATATTTATCTATTCCAGGCTTTGTTCTGTGATGGTTTTCTGAGGTTCGCCTGATATATTGTTGTTATTTCATTATTAAGTTATTTTACACTTTTTTCTCTCCGTGTGTGTGTTACTTGGAACTATTTGGCGAATTCCTCCTTAAGGTGGTAGTAGGTATCGAGTTCTGGAGATACAAGTCTCTGACTATCATTAATCCATAGTGATTTATGGTTTTGGTCTCATTGAAATATGAGTGTTGAAAGCGAATTATGGTTATATTGTGCTCATGTAATCTTTTCTAGGCTTGGACCTGAGTGCTTGTCTCTCCTTTGATATAGTTATTCCAGTAACCAAAGCAAATTCACGAGTCTTTCTGTGATGCTGCATTGGACATATGCGGCATACCTCATTTTGTTCACTATTTTTAGTTTTATGCGTGAGAGTATTATGACTTGATCTTTCAGTAGGCTTGATGCATGATATTTTTCAGCTATGCTCTTCCTCGCTAAAGTTCTGGAATCGCTCTCATCAAAGCCCTTAAGCAGCACTTCAATTCATAGCCTTCTAGTTTTCTTCGCGGAAAGACTGGTGAGTCTATTAACAGGGCTGCAGTTGTCCATTGGTTTAAGATTCACTCCAGTATTCTGAAAAACTCATCTCCGTTATCTTCAATGGATTTCAAATATGAAATTAGAAGAGCACTGTTTTGTTGCAAGTTATATTTTTCATGGATTATGTATTAGAAACATTAATTTATATACAATACTTTATTGTTGTTCTCTTATTTGTTTTATTTTATTTTATTTTTTTGTGTTTTTTTTATTGTGTTAAAACCTGGACTAATCTCACCAAGAACCTGGCTCAACCCCTATGAACAAAGATAGGAACATCCTTGAACGGGCTGCTAAATTTTCGTCTATACCTGTGTAACTTAGTTATTTTACTTTATTATTGCTTTTGTTTCTAACAATATTCCCTTTGATATTCTTTTAGTTTATACACTAGAACTCCATTTATGTAGTTATTAAAGCCGGATAGTAGTTTATGTATTTTATGTATATCAGGCAGATTGGAAAGCACTACGTGGTGCTCTTGTTGGTTGCTTGGCCTTACTAAGGAGAAAAACTGATGTTGGAATAGTTACTAATCATGATGTGCTGGAAGTTACTCGCTCTTTTCTAGAAAATCTTAGGCTGCAGTCCATGGCTCAATATGAGAGGAAGGTAAAAACTTGGTACGATCCAAGTGACACTGATAATTTCGCCCATCATTTTAACCATCTTTAAATAAATCTATTTCCAATCTTGAAATTCTTTGCAGCTAAGCTTGCAAGTCATCGAATGCTTATTAGATCGTTACTCTGATGCACTTGTTGATTTGGTAAGCTAATGTTTACTTCTGTCTGTCTATTCTTATAATTTTGTCTTAACTTTTTTATTATTTTAAAGCAGAAAAGTTAATATTTTAATATGACCATGTTATCTGGAGTTATAGTTTTTAACATCATATAAATTGAATGCTGTCCGAATGAGTTTCTGTCGAGTTACCATGCCTTTGTCTGTGGACTGGTAACTGGGTGGCACCATGTTAATTGATCATCTTATATTTTATGTAACTCTTATTGTTAAAAAAGATTTTAAGTTTGTCTTAATCCTATTTTCGTAGGGAGATAACCTTTTGTATGGATTCTGTGAAGCTATTGATGGGGAAAGAGATCCTGAGTGCTTACTGCTTATATTCCGTATGGTGGAAAGGCTTGCACAATTATATCCTGCTAATTTAGAAGATTATGCTGAGGAGCTATTCGGAATTTTAGGTGATTACTTCCCCATTAACTTTACACATGTAAGTTCTCCAAATTCTGCCCTTCTTTGTTTTCATGTAGTTTGTGTCTCTGTTACTGGTGATCCGCCTCTTGTGGCACTATGCCTTATGCTTCATATCTTAAGTAAATTTGAGGTGTGGTTCGATGAACTTTTTGACATGTAATGAATTTGTACGTGTCAAAATAAATTAGAGCAGCTAGACTGATGACATGCTGAGAAGTTGATTGCACAGATCCTGATAGAAAGACTAAACTGGTAATAACGTAAAATTTATCTGCATTACTATTTGANTGTGGTTTAACAACGAACTGCATACATCAGAGTTGGAAAAAAGTAACATACCTGCAACCCAACCAGCACAGTACAGGCTAAAAAAGTTTAAAAAGAAAAAGAAGGTTGAGCAATGTATGCTACTGAACCAGAATAGTATAGAATTAGGTATTGTTGAGTTGAGATAAATGTGGCGGAGATATATGCTTGGAGTTAGAATGCTACTTTTTGTACTTCACTCATTCAAGTCTCCCACTAATTTGGCTTTCAATGTCATTTGACTAGCCAGCAACTGAGGCAAATGACGTGAAAAGAGAGGAGCTCTCGAGGGCACTAATGGTATGTAATTTGCTTCAAATTGTGACAATACTTTAATCTAGCTAGATTCGAAACACATTATGCTCTTGTGTGGGCCCTTCCTGTTGTGTATTCTAAAGTTTACGCGTTAGATCATTCCCTATGGCTCCATTCTATTAATATGATGTCTCAGGCATATTTTACGTGGAGTCTCTTTATCGCTGTGACTACAAATAATGTATAATGAATTGAATTCTGATTTCGAAGCTTTTGCATATGTAACCCACAGGGTTAAGAAAATAGTAAATACCTGCCAATTTTTGTCTTACTTGGTACATTTCAGATGGTTGCAAATGTTCCTAGATATATTCAACATTATTACGGAAGTCGTAACAGATCCTTGACAAGGATCTGTTAGAAAAATTGGTTCTACCAATCTTTCTTATATATATATATATTCTTTTTGTGTCTATCAGGTGGCATTTGGTTCTACCGATCTTTATGAACCATTTGCTATCCCATTGCTGCTAGAAAAATTGTCTTCTTCTCTACCCTCAACTAAGGTCAGTGCCTATCCATTCGGATCCTGTTTCTCGTATGTTCTCCTTTTGATTTTATTTCGGTTATATATTATTTGAAATCTTTTTATTGAAAGAATAATATCTTCTGTATTCAGGTGGAGTCATTCAAGTTTCTTACCTTTTGCATTGCAACATATTCAAGGGATAGGATATATAATCGTGCTGAAGTTCTATGGTCCATTATAAAAGATGAAACATATGTTTCACCCCAGTCTACTCTATCTAAGGATTTGGAGTCCATGGGTCAAATGAGTTTTCAGGAAACTGATGTCATGAATCAGGCTTTTATCCTTCTGCAGGAAATTATTCGACGTTGTGATGATTCTATTCAATTTGTCATACATGACAACGACATTAATGTGTTCATAAACTCCCTGAATGAGTACAAAGAGTTTGATGCTATTCCGTTGCAAATCAAACAGAGATTACATGCAGTTGGTCGTATTCTGTCAACCTGTGCCGAAACCTCTGTTGCATCATGTGATAAGGTCTTCAAAAGTTTCTTTCCACTCCTAATGTGTGGTTTGGAGATTTCTGTTGGAGATAGCGTTTGTCCAGTCCAATTGAACTTTGGGGCCCTTTATCTATGCATACAACTTCTTGCATCAAGCAGATACTTGTCTGTGTCTCTTGAAAATTGCGGATCAACCAATGACTTTTCAAATTGGATATGGTCTGTCATGGTTAGCAATTTCTCTAAACCTCTGGTGGAGGCCTTCGTTTCCATCGTACGACCAAATGTCGCTGATAACTCTCAAAGTCATTACGTGCACTTAGGAGGTAATTACTCCCCCTTTAGATAGTTGTTTGGCAATTATGAGCTTCACATCGTTAGTTAGCAAATTGTACATTTTCGAATGGTATTCAGTTCGTACTAAATCATCACAAGCTCTGTCCGGAAATAAAGAATATGGATGCAACACCAATTAACTCATAAGTAAAGGAAGAAGTTGAAGAAAGTAGATAATGTATATATATTAAAAGAGAGCAAAGATTTTTCTGCCCATTCTGTTACTGAATATGGACATGTTAGAGTTATATTCAAACATAATGACTTGTGTTATTTGATCGGTATTTATGTGTGATTTTTAATTATCATCAATTTACGATTTACCATTTAACACCCATATTGTGAAAATAAATTAAACCATTATATGTTGCATTAAATTTATAAAACAGTTTCTAAAGAATAGATTAATTTATTGTTTTGTGTTTATATGGTTCATTTTTACTCACGTTTCTAACTTTGGCTGATATTTCCATTGATTGCACAAAAATTAAAGTATATTCACGACTGTCATCATTGAATAACTTTTGGTTACAAATATATCATTTTTACCTGTACAATTCGCATTGTTATTCCAACACCTCCTGTGATTTTCATGGGCAAAGTACTAGTCATGTTAATGAGGAATATAGCACTCCGAATTTGTGGACTTCAGAAATAACTTTTAGTTTTCTTGCTCAGCCAATGTCTCAGTCTCTGTATTACATTTTATATTATATAAATGCTTAAAGTGAAGTCAATCTCATCTTGCTTTTGGGACATAGTTTATGATAGTAGTTTTGCCTTGAGAAGATTCATAGAGGAGGAAATAGGAACTGGCCAAGTTAGCAGCTTAATATGCAAGTGACGAAGTATGATGGACTATATATCTATTGTGCTTGTTTTTCTTCCTTTTTGAGTCTATTTGCTCTGAAGGAAGTTCTTCATTGTGTACGTAGCAGTTTGATATAATTAATAGGCTATTAGTAAATTTCAGAAAGCTAACTGGCTTACATTATCCATGAATATAACTGCAGTTAAGGGACTGAAAGTGCTAGCTACATTTCCGGGCAGGTCTTCTCCACTATCCAAGTCCATATATGACAATATTCTGAGGGAACTTCTTGGAGTTGTTGCTTCTGATAGTGCCAACACATTCTTATGGAAGTTGGCTCTGAAGGCATTAGTAGATATTGGGATTTCTATTGATAACTGTCCAGACACAGAGAAAGCTGCCAGTTTTGAGAGTATTGTTGTGGAAAAGATTGTTTCCCTATTATCTTTCAATGATTCCACTATGCCTTCAGCAGTCAAATTACATGCAGCTTTTGAAATCGGAGCTACGAGGAAGGATTTTATGATGAGAGTTGTTAAAATGCTGGATGAGGCTATACGTACCAATTTTTCTGAAGCTTATGTACGTATTCTATTTGAATTTACATTTGGTGAAAATTCTCATTTGGAATTTTAACATATGGAATTTGTGTATATAATTGCATCACTGTCACTAGCCTATGTTGTATAACTATTTCATAGATATATTTTCTGTATATTCATGCGCATTCCATGAAGATTATGTCTGAATAAAATGTAGTTTCAACTGACTAAAGAATTTTCACTGTATAGCAACCACTTCCCAACTTCTTTTCCTACAAGTTTATCATGGCTCGATTTTGATTTGTAATTTGCATTATATTAATGCAAGCTGATTCCCTATAACCATACAGAATCATGGGAATCCCGAGTCTGATAAACTGATGGTTAATATTCTGGATACTTATTCTCGGAAGGTTTTTCCATGGTAAGCAGTTTTTCAGTAATTTGTCATTTCATTATAATTTTTTTCCTTGATTCAAGTCTAGCATCCATAGCATTCAGGATTTTGTAATACCAAGTTTCTTCAGTTATCAATAAGATTCTGTTAATTCGGGTTAAGTGTCTAACTGTTCTTCTGATCATATCGTCAACTTCCGCTGAACATACATATTCTTGAAACGCCCCAGGTCTTTTGAGTTCGGTGGTGTTGAGGAAGTTTCGCTGAATTTCGCTCTTGTTATGTGGGACAAGATAGAAGATATTAGGACCTTATACCACAATCGTCCAGATAGTGGAAGCGTAAGATACAGTTGGTTATAATTTGATTCTCCAGCCTATTTGTTGGTTCTTCCTATAACAACATAACATGTTTTCAGGATGTTCTTGGTGCAACAATGATAACTATGAAGAAGGCTGTTGCTGGTTGTTCCAAGGAAAGCCAGGACATAATTATCAAGAAAGCTTTTGGAGTTGTCTTTTCAAAGGAGGAAGTTTCTCAACAAGCTTACACCTTGGGCGCCTCTTCTGGAAGCAATGAATGGCTCACCTCATTATTAGCATCTGTTGTTGTCGCTCTCCGTCCAGAAACAAGCATCCCCAATGGGAAAAAGATTTCACATCTGTTCATAACAAGCATTCTCAACGGCCATGTCCCATCAGCTCATGCCTTGGGTTCCTTAGTCAATAAGATACCTCTGGATATCAAAAGCACGGGCTCATCAGATTGGTTTAGTCTGAACGAGCTGGACATGATACTTTCCAGCTTCATAAAGACCTCTGGTGATGATAGCTACAAAATTAATTTTGGCTGTTTGAGACAAAATGCCCTGCCAACAGAAGTGGAGATCAATGCCATTATTGGATTGGCCTGGATCGGGAAAGGCCTGCTCATGAGGGGTCATGAGAAGGCGAAAGACGTGACAATGGCTTTGCTGAGTTTCTTGATGCAGGGTGGTACAGCCGAGGTGCTTGATAGGGAGGATTCACTTCGGCTGATGATGTCTGCAGGGGATGCATTTCGTGTGATTATGGGAGATTCTGAAGAATGTCTGAACCGGATGTGCCATGCTATTGCACGGCCACTCTACAAGCAACGGTTTTTCAGCACAGTTGTGCCGATTTTGTCGTCTCTGGTGATGAAAGCTGAATCATCAATTGTAAGGTGCGTATGCAGATATATCTTTTTCCTTGAAAAATGTATTCCAAATGAATTTGCGTCGAGTATGGAAATGAAATTAGTCAAGTCTCATGCTATACATGCCAAAGCTATAGATAATTTAGTCACATATTTGAAATTTGATAATGAAACTGCTCGAGGTCACAGGGCTTTCATTGAATAGCAAAAGAAGTGATTGGCAGCAAGCCTATATACGGTCTGTTTTACATGTTTGTTCTTTGAAGTATGGTTTGGTTTGTACTCATAGTCATGGTTAATTTCAATCACTTCTTTTGCTATTCAATGAAAGCCCTGTGACCTCGAGCAGTTTCATTATCAACTTTCAAATATGTGACTAAATTATCTATAGCTTTGTCATGTATAGCATGAGACTTGACTAATTTCATTTCCATACTAGACTTCTGGAAAATCTGAGGCAAAATATTGAATTATTTGTTCGTCTTCAATTGAATAATATAATCAAGACTAGTGTCCATTAGTTGGCTTTATCTGTGAACAGTTGTCTGTTGTACGGTCTGATTGGGTCTTGTGATGATCATGTGTGGAGGAGTTGGTTTGTGTGCCTTCTGATATAACAAGGAAATGTATTTTCATAAAAAAAGGTGGTAGATCCTATTATGTAAATTGCTACAGCACTCACAGAATTTCTGCAAGTGATGTTTGCTAGTTTTCTATAGATCTTGGTTAACAATAAATTTATTCCTATTTCTCAGTAGTGATATAGTTCCATATCCATTTCAGATCTATGTTATATAGAGCCTATGCACATGTTATCTCAGATACTCCTCTGAGTGCTGTTTTGGTAGATGCCCGGAAGGTTAGTTAATTAATCATAAAAGTGTCAATATTTTTTGTACTACTCATATATGTAGCACACACGCACACACATATTTACAATGGAACAATGTTTAGACGTGTATTTGCATGCAGGTGGTCCCTATGTTATCGAGTTGCTTGTGCACGCTGATGAAGGATGTAGAAAACAAGGAAATAACCTACAAAGTCGTACTTGTCATATCCGGAATATTGATGGATAAAAATGGTGAGAATGATCAACATTTAAATAATATTATGGATGAAGATGATGGTTGAAATAATATGTGCAATGGAAACTGGCAGAGTGAAAAGCTTCTCAATTTTATCGAACTGTTGTATTAATGTATATAGTTAATAATTGTACTCATCCTTTGTCGATACTTTTAAATTTTATTGTGCTACAGGGGAAGATGCTGCTGTAGAAAATGCACCCAACATTGTAGACCGACTCATTGAACTAGTAACATACCCTCATATGATGGTATAAGTTTTCTTTCTCAAGTTCTGTGACTTCCTAATAATATTTTGTATGCAGTGCGGTGACTGTATTTCTCCAAATCTACTTGTCAAATGAGCTGGCATAACCAAATACTACATCTACCTGGAATTCTTTCTTTGACATCATGGTACCTTAAAGTAATAGTTTCTGTTAGAAGTTACGTTTGTCCCACATCGATTTGTTACTGGGCTATTATTGTGTATAAGTGTGGGTTGGACACCCTTTCCATTTGAGTTAGCTTTTGGGGATGAGTTCTACACAAACCCATTTATCAGTTTCCATTCTCAGTTTTCCTATATGGTTCTTTTTCTCAAGTGGTAACACGGAACCACTTTTTTCCTATTAAAAACTCCACCTGTTTTCTCTCTTATGGTTGTCCTTCAGACTTGAGGGACTAGGTAAAGGCATTTTGATTAATATTCATTAAGATTTGGCAGCTCGTTATTATGATTTAAAAAGTAATATATTTGACTTTGTTTGTCCCTTAAAATATATTTCAATTTTTTTGTCTTTCACACACATGTTATATATACTAAACTAGTTTCACTGTCTTTGGCATTTACTGATATGAGGAGAAATGTTCTTTTCGTTTCTCAGGCAGTTCGAGAAACAGCAATACAGTGCCTTGTTGCTGTGTCTCAACTCCCCCATACAAGAATTTATCCCTTGCGAACAAAGGTATGGCGGCTCTTGCATACTATTGTTGTCTTTCAATTTGGGTTATTGATATCTGTGCTTGGTGTCAAATCCCTCTGAATTCGTAAACTGATATTCAAATGAGAAACTGCTATTTTAGTGTTTTCTTTCTTTTTCTTTTTCGCCATTAACTGTATCTCATGCAATTGACTAACTCACTCGAGAGTAACTGAATTATTAAATTATCACAAGTATCCCCTTTTTCTAATTTGGTTTTAAATATTTTATTTACTAATTTTTTTGCATTTTTTTTTTTGGTTCAATTCTTTCTTTTGTGTGTGGGTAGGACAGTATTCCAGCTTATAATTTTGCAAGCACGTGTAATAGCTCAATTTCGGTTTCAAATACATTTTCTAAATGCTAGGTTCTGCAAGCCACAGCAAAGGCACTTGATGATCCTAAGCGAATAGTTCGTATGGAGGCTGTTAGATGTCGGCATGCTTGGTATATTCCATTGTATTATTCAAACTTTATTGTACTGTTTATGTTATGGAGATGTCAAATCAGGCTTCCTGTTGTTGATGCTTGTTTTCTCACACGTATAGGACTACTGCTTGAGTTGCAACAGAAGTCTTCAGTACAAAAATACAAAACTCCAACCTAATTAGCTGGTAAGATCCACTTTGTTTACTTGTAAGAGCCGTAAACGAGCTGAGTGAAGCTCGAATCCTGATACTCAAGCATTTGTTAACTAATCGAGTCTCTAAACAAGCTCGAACAATCATTTATCAAAGTTAACGAGCTGAACTCAAGCCTTAACTCAGCTTGATTCGATTGGTTTAACAACTCTATTAACTTTGAACTCTTTATTCATTTGATATTATAGAACAAGTGTCATTCTTTTCTGTTGTGATCAATGTCATTCTTTTTGCAGACCCTTTTGGAGATTTTCACAAGTGTACTATTACTGAGAACATTTTCTGGACCTGGAAATTGTATCTTGGAGTGCACACTATCACCTTGAATTTTTCGTATGTATATTAATGTTAAAAAAAGCATCTGGACGTGTTACGAAATTTGATACGCACAGGAAGTGTATACCAAACGTTATGCAATGATTCACATGTTGTAATGCCAGATATTCATTAATGTCTAAATGAGTGTTTACTTATTCACTACTAAATCGTCTGTCATACTGAAAATGATGTTTATTGGTTTTTATTAGTATTTCTGATATTCTAATTTGATGTTCATTTCATATGATGTTCGTTATTTTCGATGTGGGATGTTTCTGTTGTGTGGAAATTTCTGTTTGTGGAAATTCAGTTAGAATTACGTTAAAAAGGTAATAAACAATTATAAATAAATAAACATCAATCTATTAACGAGGGCTCAATTAAATTAAAGAATTATTAAACCAATATATAATGCTATTGTAATGGTGTATGATGTTATTTTTAACAGTATATCATACAGTACTATCAAGCTTTATCTTTGTATTATTGTGGTTTCTAAAAACAAATCCCACTTAAAAACTGCAACAAAAACAATGAAATATGGCGTGCATACACAATTAAAAGTAGCATTTCCGTTGTTCTCACATAAACATACATCATTATCTTTACACAATATTTACACACTAGTGAAATGGTGGTACACGCTTCTTACACTAATGACTGGTTCTTATACTAACCACATTCATACATGCATGATATAGGTCTAGTTGGGCTCATATTGTAGGCATTAGGAAGACCCCATTTTGGGCTGAGTTGTTAGGAGCCCATATTGACAGCTGGTCCAATAGCCCATACCTTTCGTTGGTATCTGGATTTCTGGTCTTCCATGGCGACAGTATGCAGCTAAAGTCTGAACAAACCGCGCACTTTTATCGAAGCTGTGGCCTCCTCTCAGGTACCCTTTGGTCTTCAAGATATTTTCTTCTGTGCAGTCATGGCAGATTCGAACCCTAGCACCAGCGCTCTCAACGGTACCTTCTCTTTCCAAACTTCCCGTCTCCCAAACCCGTGTCGATTTCGAATTTCTCTTTTCTTGCCGATCTTGAGTAATGAACCCAATTCATGAATCTTTAATCGATATTCCTGCACTTATAAATGTTTTGATGGCTGAATAATTAACATCCTCAAGCTAATTGTCTGCAGTCATAAGATTTTAAGCTGGCTATTTTGTTGATAGCGTTTTTTTCTCCTACTGGGGCACTTGCTGCTTAAAATATGGGATTGTTATTGTTCTCTGTAATTTTTTTAGAAGAAGCTTTTCTGCAATTGCAATCTTTCCACTCTGTAATGTTATTCCCAGTGGCAATTAGAGATGAACGTAGTTAAGAAAGTGAATGAAATTTTCTTTCTTTTGGGTACCCTTTGCTTAAATGCTTATCTACAATGCTGCATTGCTGGTGAAATTGTAACTTTTTTCTTAAGTTTTGTTTAGGTTTGTGATAAATTTTACAATTTTGGTCTCAGGAAGTGTAGAAAATATGGAAGGCTGTAATAATAAAGCAGAGTCCTTGCGAGAAGATTCGCGTGCTCAGGCCTCAGAGGCTCAGCCCGAAGACATTGGTTATATTTCCTTTTGTTCTTTAAGTTCAACTTTAATCTTATCAGAGTTGTCTATATACAGTGTCGGTTAATATGCGTGCATGTTTACTGATAACAGAGAGAAAAGCCAGAATTGATGCTATGTGGCAACAAATGAATAAAGGAGTTTCTCCAAAAACTCTAAAGTCCATCTTGGAAAACAAGGGCTCGGCCGCAAATAAGTCTTCTCAGAAAACTCCTGTGAAGAAATCATCATCCGTGAGCATGCACTCCGTCTTTTCAGTTAATTGTCAAAAGCTTAATTAGGGAAGATTCCCTGTGATACCTTAAAAATTCTTATTAGTTTCCGTTGCAATGGGATGCATCTCTTTCGTGGTATATTTGTTGAGAAAATATAATAAGAGCTTAAAAAAAATTGAATCGTAATTGTATTATTTGTTTCTTTTTTTTCCTGGGTTAATTAGGTTAAATCTCAGGGGTAAATTTAATAATAGCTCTTTTCTGATAATTATATTGATTGTGATTAATTACTTGCTCCCATCTTTCAGGGATGGATGAATTATCTAGGTTTAGGATCAAAGAAAGAGTCTCCTGTACAGGGACAGCTGGAAAAGCCTCCGAGCATAACCCAAAATGGCGCCAGCGAGGACACGAAAAGGCTTGCTGCTGCTGCTCTTTCGGCTGTTAAGGATGCAGCTGCTTTGGCCACATTAGGAAGCGGGAAAGTCGAGGTAAATTTCTTAGGATATAAATGATTTCCCACAAATTCCACTTCCTAATTATTTTTTCTATGTTAATTTGCTGTAGACTTTTTAATTTTGGAAAAAAAGTGATAATAAATCGACTTGAGAATGAACATTAGAATGAAAACTTGATGGTAATAGTTGTGTTAAGGCTATTGCAGTAAATAGTGATTGAGATATATTATGTTGACACGAATTTTGTTGCTGAAACTCGTTATTTCCATGTGGTAGCTGATCGAAAAATGAGAATGGTTCGATTTTCTTTCATTTCTTGAGAAAAATGATGTTCACACATTTGTCTCACATTGTCATTTGAAAGTCGAGGCTCGTATATTTTTCAACAGATTAAGGAAGTACGAGACTTTGCGGGCGAGGAAATCGAGGTGAAAAAACTAATAGATGCCGATTCTAAAGAGGCGGCTGAGAAAGGTAAAAGCAGCAGCACTCCTTGTGCAGTTGATGCTGTTCTTGAACAAATAAAAAAGAAACCCAAACTAAGTGTGCTGGACAAGACAAAGAAGGACTGGGGAGAATACAAGGATGAGAACAAAGGGCTCGAGGAAGAACTCGATGCATATAAAAAGAGCTCAAACCAGTATTTGGACCGACTCTCGTTTTTGCAACGGGCTGACTATCGGGAGTTTGAAAGGGAAAGGGATGCTCGTCTTGCCTTGCAGGCCAAGCGGAAAACGGACATGAGGGATGATTTATGATAGCGTGTTTTTTCGAATTGGTCGAATGAATTTTAAAAATTTGGAAAAAAAAGGGATAATATGTTATAATTTATCCAGGATTTTTTCTTTCTTTCTTTCTTTTCTTTTCATTTCCTTTGCTTACTAGCTAGGTGAGAAATATTTTCTGGAAGAACTTTCTCATGTTTGTAAGCTAATTTTGAGGGAACATTGAGAACTTTGAGTCCATTTGTCAAGAGGAGAAGTAATAGGGATTACTGCAAATTTACCCTTCAAGGTTGAATTGCAAAATGCTCTCCGAATTATGTTAAAATAAGATTATATGGTCTTTGTTGTATAATTAATAATTATATAGAAGAGTAATAGTTAAATAAAGATTATATTGGTCTTTGTTGAATAATTAATATTAATATTATCAAGAATGAAGAAAACCTACAAAAGGAAAGCCTTTCTTAGACCAGGCGAGTAATATAAAAACGTGTTCTAAAATAAATTCAATGTTCAGTAATTCACTGTGAGCTAATGTATTAATACAATAATTCATTTGTGGATTCATTTGCTCGCTCTGTAAAATTTCTCATAATTTTTCAGATTTCTTCGTAATTAAAACATAACACTGTAAAACATTAAAATGAATCCAAACCGTTCGTTTGATTTAAGACAAGGCCAAAATACAGATTTGAGATTACTGAAAAATTATATGCAAAAAAATAGAAGAAAACAAATATTAATAAAACCGTATCCAGTGCGTCCCTACAAAAGCAAAACAAGAGGCCACGAAGGTCCAAGACAGATGAATGTAACTAAACTGATCACACGTTTTTTCCTTCTTCGATTTCACGTTAATTTCTTGGATAATTCTCAAATATCGAAAAACTGAAANTTTAAAAAAAAAAAAAAAGAAAAAAAATCGCCCTCTAAAAAAAACTTGAAAAATTCGTAGCTCGAGAGACGTGTACAGCTTTGCTGCAAGTTTCATAGTCGAGATCAGTTTTTTTGATTCAAAGCTGTTTATTAATATTTTGTCTGTTTGGGTTGTTCTCAAGCTAAATTTCGGAGCTTTATCTGTTTAATGACCCCAAAAAGATGGCCCTTTTTTGAAACTTTTCTGAACTGAAAAGTGAGGAATTAGGAAATACTTGAAGGGGTTCTTTAAATTGAGGCATAAGTTTCAGCAATGTTGCCCGTTTGCTCAGCAGCCACTAGCTGCTCATGCCACACAAAGGTCTGATTTTTTACCTATTATCTGTTTATTCATTATATTGCTGGATTTGAACTTTTTATTCTTTTTCGTTTAAATGTAAACTTGACAGTTTGTTAGTTAAGATATAAATTTGGACCGTTCAATTTGATTCTTGACAATTTGATAGTTCAAATGTAAATATAGAACATTCCATTTGATTCTTGACAGTTTGTTTTACTCCATTTTTTCTGAGGGGACATTTCTTGGTTCAATTACTGGTTTTTAATATGATAGATTACTCAAAAAAATTCATTTCTTCATGATTGAATATCTGAGAGTGAAGCTTGTGATAGCTAATGTGTTCTTTCTGGGCTGATTAATTTTATGCTTTTCATCAGGTTCTTGTTCCTGTGTTAAAATCCTTATCACCATATTCGAAGATATTTCATGTCAAAGTCCATCTCGAAAAAGTCTCCTTTACAGCCAGGCCCATATTTTGTTTTTACTCGAACCAAATTGCTAATAGCCAAAACTATGTTGTCCCCATTTCCATGAACAATGATGAACCATTGAATCTAATTACCGACACAATTGACAAAACCGATTCACTATCGTCATTCGAAGGTTTGCCGGTCGATCCTCCTATAGTATCCAATTTACTGAACATTGATGATGATTCCTTATCCGAACAAGAAAAAAGTATCGATGATATTATTTCGGGCATAAATGAATCGACTTCGGGTTTAATTAGTGGAGGAGAAGATGCTTTGAATAGGTTACTTGATGATCTGAAAAATGCTTTGAAGAATGCAAATGAAGCTGTAGATAGTGCTGTTACAGAGATAGTCTCGTTTTTCAACAAATCTGGAGAGTCGGCTGGTAATAAGCTGTCTGGGGTGTCCAGTGAGTTACTAGAAGCTTCTGGTAAAGCAGGGACTATTGGACTTGATGTGATAAAAAGAACGATTGTTTTTATTGAGGATTCTTTTCTGGAAGGGGCGAAAAATGTCGGATATGCTTATGGTTCGGCCAAGGAATATCTGCCTTTGGATTTAAGAGAAGCACTTAATTTATCGGAAGAGAATGTTGCGAAAGTAGTTAATCCGGCTGGAAGTGCTTTTCAACAGGTCAGCTATAGTGTGAAATGATTTAATTAATTCATGATGGGGCTATTCTTGGTTTTCTTATGTATTCAGTAAATAATATTAATCTTCAGCTTCTAGCTTCCATATTTGCTTATCTCTGTTTTTTATGTTTTGTTTTGAACATAATTTTCATCATTTTGTGAAAACTCGAATGCAGTGACTTCAAAGATTGCTTCCATATTTATTATATCATCATCTTATGCTCGTATAGGAAAAGACAATCATAATTGAGCTTTTATGTGTTTGGCATACACTGTTTTCTTTTNTATCCCTCCATTATTACCTCTTGGAACTAGTTATGATCTCCTTGTAATAAATGGAAGTTGTTACATTTATCATCAGATATGTGCAGGGGTTCTTACAGGATACTAAAGTACGGTGGATATGCTGGAGATTTGTCCCCTCAAGAAACTTACGAACTTTTACGAGGAAATGAAAATGTTGTGCTTGTTGACATACGGCCTGAGGCAAGATATTCTTCACAGTGTGTTTCATTTTGTGAATTTCTTTATAGTTAACTTTTATGTTAAAGACCATGCTCAATCAATTGTGAGATAACGTTTGCAAATTATTTACTGCCTATATTTTTTATGGCTTAAAAGAATCTCAGGGAAAGAGATGGAATTCCGGATCTTCGGAGGACAGCTCGATCTCGGTACATCGGTGTAGCACTATCCGAGGTTGTCTTTGTTCGTTATTTTTAAGGTTTTTTATACTTTAGTTACTTTCTTTTTCTTTTTTTTTGTTGGCTTTTAAACACATTGAAGACTATCGAGATTGTCGAGAAGGAAAAATAAAATAAAATTAGATTACAAGCTAGTGGTTAGAAAAATAACAATTGGTCATATTTTCTTTTAGCAATTCAATTTAATTCTGCATGATTTTTCGCAGCTTCACAGCTCGTTGAGGAAATTGCTCAAGGGAGGGAGAGAAATCGAGGATGCATTGCTTGCTGCTGTTATACGCAACCTTAAAATTGTTGAAGTATGTGACGTGATCCTTTTAAATTCTCCAGCAAAATGTATTACTATTATACAAAGCTTTTGAAATCATAGTATATTTTGGATAATGAAATGTTATTTTTTCAAATTAATGTTCATAAATTCAGGACGGGTCTAAGGTTATAGTTGTGGATGTTGATGGGTCTCGTTCAAAGGGTGTTGCTCGATCACTGAAAAAATTTGGAACCAAGGCAAGTATATTTTAGCTAAAGCTAAATCCATTCGCATTTCGCAATTCGCAATAATGTCTTTCGAACAAAGTTTAATGTAGCTCATGTTTATGTGTCTCTCTTATTTTCGCAGTTACATCTATTTATCCTTTATTCTTTTCCTTATGTTTTTTGCTTTTTTTTTTTTTAACAAAAAAAAAAAAAAATTGACAGAGACCATATCTTGTTCAAGGTGGCTTCCGCTCTTGGGCGAACGCAGGCCTCCGTATTAAAGCCCTAAACCCCGACACGCCACTTACAATACTCAATGAGGTAAGTTTATATTATCTGCACTTCTATTTTGCATTAAGAAATCTTTAAAATTTATCAACATAAAAGTGGGGGCCTTGCAGGAAGCTGAAGCAATCTTGGAAGAAATCAATCCAACTCCAGTGAAAATTCTTGGATATGGATTGGTAAGGCACTTTTCTCCATTATACATATCTTTTAAATATTAGGTCTAAAAAATTTCAAAAGTGATGGCATTTTTTTGCGATTTAGCTGATTATAGTGGTTTCTCTGTGGCAGGGTTTTGCTGCAGCTGCTTATTCATTAGTAGGTATATAAACATTTTTTCCTTCAAAATCATTATCTTCGACTCCAATATCATTAAGTTATGTTCGTTTTTCAACAAAAATACTATTGGCATGTTTTTCTGGCACAAATATTAGAAATAGAATCAAATCCCCAAGTTATTACTTCTATATGAAGAAAACTTTGGTCCGAAGCCCTTACAGATATGAATGGGATATTTTCACAACATTTTTTCTTTTTTTGGTACATTAACAAATCCTTTGATGTACAAACGTTTTGCAGACTGGGAAAGGACGTTGCAATTCGTAGGTGTTATCGGACTAAGCCAGGTGATTAGCCTTACCAATCGAGATATCTTTGATTTAGATACTAATAAACCTTAAAATTCTTACTAATCTCATCATAAATTTTAGTGAGAGTTGGAACAAAAACATTTTTTTGCAGCCAAATATCGTAGTAAATTTGGTTCTCGACATGTATCCTTGTGTAACATGCTAAAAATGTGTTTTTTGCTTCTCTTTTCCTTTTCCATTTTTTTTTTCTTCCAAAAAACAGACTGTATTTCGACGAATTGCATCTTACCAAGGCGCAGAGGATCTCAAGAAGGACGTGAGGTACCACAACTAACTCCAAAATCTTATAACCAAAAATCGAAAAATAAAAAAATTCACTGCATCTTTTTTT